GCCTCTCCCTGTATGTCAGACACTTCAGCCACCTTCATGGCCCTTCATTAGGTGTGCTCCAGTATGCCTTGTACTGGGGAGCCCAGAACGGCACCCAGCATTCCAGATGTGTCTCTCCAGTGCTGAGTAGAGGGGAAGGATCACCTCCCTCCACCTGCTGCCAACAGCCCTCCTTGTGCAGCCCAAGATACCACTGACCTTTGCTTATGTTCAGTTTGTCCACCAGGACCCCATGACCTTTTCCACAGACAGTGCTCTGGAACCACAAGAGATGGTGAAACAATTCCTTTTTTTATTTTTTTAGAAGGTGTATTTGTTAAAATATAATTAAAAAAAAAAACCCAACCTATGCAGTTTGATGCATATTGAATTGAGAATCTTTAGAAATCTGCAGTGAATTCTAATAGGGGTGCTAATGCATTATGATTTGGTAGTAACACCATACTCCTCAGAAGCCTGCGATTCAGTAAAAATTTCCCTTATGCGAGGCGTATTTCCTCATGAAAACACAAATCGCAGATAAGTTTAATGTCATGGTTATATAAAATAAAGCTAAGGGTTTTGTGACACTCAATCAAATCATGGCTGTTGTTTAGTGCTATGCTTGATGTGAAAATGTTAACAATGGTTGAACAAATACAAGGAAATTAAATTAAAAATGCCTAGCAAAGCATGAAGGCAAAATGCAAAAGTAAGCATACTATGACAAACCCCAGATTTCTCTCTGGAAGAAATTCTGCTGCAAGTGCAATAGTATCCCACACAAAATCATGTTCCATATGTTCTTTTTGACAAAACGTATCTCCTCCACAGGCTGCAAAGGAATGGGAAGACAAAATGCGTTCATGATCATGAAGTCAGGAGACAAAGCTCACCTGAACAGGCACCAACTGCTACTAAATTTAATGGAACTATAGGCTGTTAAAATTTGTTATAACAGGAATTTGCACTAACTATACAAACGACATTAGTAGGCCCAATTGTATTTAAGGGGAAAAATCTATGTTGCATGTCCACACAATACTGTGTGAAAACTTCACTGAAGCTGTACACTTTGCAGCTTCATCACCATGTTTTTGCACTGCTTAGTCAGACATAGCAGGACTGCTGGGCCTGTGAGTGAAGTGGCTCCCTGCCTGTGTCTGGGATGTCACATTGGCAGAGGTTAGACTGAGATAAGCTGGTTTGAATCCGGCCATTTTTAAACAGTAAGTCCTTGCAAACTTGGCTTCGCCTGGGTGAGTCAGAGACCAAGAAGTGACTGCAGATCTGAGGGGGCAGTAGTCAGTATCTGGGCATGAAACACCTCTTGAGCTGCAAATGTAAGATGAGTTTATTTCTAAATAACGATAATAATTAAAAAAGTCTTGTTTGTGTTTTGGGGATCAGTGACTATGATAAGATAATGTGTCTTCTCCCCTCCTTCCCCAGGTCCCAAGGTGCTGAGCATATCTGACCTCCGCCGGCCAATTCAAGAGGAAAACTAAACCAGCTAACCTGTACCAACAAGTTTCACGCTACATCTGTTCTCCTACAGCAGGCAAGGTGCAAACCCATCATGAATGACATCCTCCGAGCGAAGGGTCCGTTATCAGGTCGCCACAACTGGTCTTGAGCAGCGTTGCTTTTCTGGCCATCTGACACTGACCTGGCCAGCGCCAGCCTGGTACTGCCAAGCATGCCACTCTGTGTCCCCCCCGATTGCCCTTCCCTCCTCTGATCATACCAGGGATAAATACTTGTAAACTGAAATTCCTATGGCATGAGACCTGCAGTATGAAAATTAGTTCGTTAGCCACCAGAGGGAGTGCGTATTACTGGGGAAGACGAGACAAAGTAATTTGAGGTCAAAACCTTCCTTCAGACCGAATTGCCTCTGGCCTTTACTCAGACAAAACTACAGTACATAGCAATGACCATAGTTGGTGACTATGGGATTTTTGCAGGACTACTGAAAGCAGAACTTGCAGCTTTTGTTAATGTTGGAAAAAAAGACTATTGAGCTGTGACAAACTTACTTCAGCTCTGTCCTCTAGCAACAGCCAGTATTTTCCAGGGAAGCCAAAATGAAATACCACTCTTTAATGTGTGTATCTAGGGATGTGTGCAGGGAATGAAACCCCCAAAGCCTGCTGCTATACCATCTGCATTTTTTTCCTAAAAATGAGGCTAATATTGAAAATACATTATTTGAAGCATTTGTTATTCCTTGCTCTCTACTCCTCAGCTTTGGCATGATGACAGTCCTACACAGGAAGACTAACTGAGGAAACTCTGTGTGTAAAAATGGTAAGAGTTATCCAGCCAGCAGCAGAAATAAAACAGAGGATTATATTCCATGTAGGCAGTAAAACCCAATTATTACCAGCAGGCGCTGTATATGGTACCTGAGAACTGTTATTTAACGAGCAAGTTCAATACAGTGCCGGAATGGTTGGATGATTTTGAAGAATAAGCAAATTAACAGGATAAAATCTGATTGTGTATGAGGTGCTTACTGCAGAGAGCAACAGTCTTCCCAGTGGCCTCTCTGGGCTTGGGTTCAGCCCGCAGCTGGTGTTGGAAAAGACAAGAGCATGCCCAGAGCGTGCTGACTCTGTTTGGTGTCCGGGGCTTCAGTAAGACGAGGGAGAGTGCAGGGAGGTACCCGCTAGGATTGAAGCAGCCGTGATGGTGAAGGTGTACATTACCACGTCTGTGGCCTTCTCACATGATTTATAGCACGCAGTTGCAAAAGCAGAGCTAAATGGGGGCTGTAGACTTGTGGCCTCTGTCAAATCTATCTGTGATATCTAGAAATATCCTAAAGTCTATATTCATATCTCAACAATCCCTTTTTTCCAAAATCTGCCAGCTATTCCAGTTTGAAATAAGGCATTCCAGAATGTAGTAAATAGTCACTTTAACTACTACAGTAAACAGATTGCTATTTTAAAAAAAATGAAAATATTGTCAAAGATGGAACTTTGTGACTCTGGTATAAAAAAGTAAAAATATGAGGAAATGTCCACGAGTTTACTAAAACCAGAACTTTTTAAACAAATGCACATGTTGGTGTAAGATTAAAAGGGCAAAACCAGACTATGGACAAATTTATGAGGAAATCAGAAGATTTCTAATCACGGCAGCAAGGTTCTCTTGGTGGGAACAGTGGCAACAAAAGTCCTAACTGAGTACAGGACACGGTTTGCTCAGCTCATAAACCTGCCCAGGTTTCTGCAGTTCCCTGTTCCTACTCCTTTTCTTTGATTAAGTGCACCAAAGATCTCATGCCACGCAAGTTCCAAGGTCTACATTAACGATGAAAGAGTGGAGGATGAAAGATACGGAGCTCTCTGATGTGTCCTGAAGGCACTCGCTTTATTATCAGAAAGTGCCAGTGACAGAAGTGGTTGGTTACGTGACAAACTGCCCTGAGCTCAGCAGGATCAGAAACGAGGAGTCTCAGGCTGGATTCCCAGAAAAGCACAAATGCTACACCTTGCAAAAACAACCTGTTTAGAAAACTTGTGCTGATGGTATTGTGATTTTTTAAGATGTCTCCTTGAAATAATTGCTTAAACAAATTATTCCCAGTGATATTAGTGGTTCATATTCAAACTGTGTTGTGAATGAAAACACACGTGACATTGGCTGAAAACATATTCACACAAAAGTGGTTTTTACATCTTCAGAACCCCAATTTTAATGAAATGAACTTAAGTAACAGAGACTATTAGGCTTCAAAATAGCTTCAAATTTAAATATTGAGTGTATACTTCTTTAATAAATTAATGTGTACTTTTAGAAACATGTACATGGTTTTGCAAAAGCTATAGGAGCTTTTTAATTTTATTTGTAAAAGAATCCCGTTTCCCTTCACTAAACCTACTTAGGTGTTTAATGTAAAGCGTGAACTTAAGGTTCTGCACGCTCAGGCCATGATTTTCCACATGCACATTTCCCTTCAAATGCTTCAAATCAGCTTTTTCATACAGCACCGGATGTAGGAAGCTGAGAGAAGTCCAAATGCAAGTGAACTACGTACAGCTTTGCTCTCATAAGCTCAATGTTATGAAAATGAGAGGTGGCAATTGCCTTTTTTAAGACAAAGACCAGGACGGTTCTGTCACCTGGCCAAAGTATGGTCTGCCAGATGCTCGCTGTGGACATAAAATAGGGTGGCTGGTGCCACCGAAGTGATGGATGGGTCCCTGCTGAGAGACCCTGGCTGCTCTGTATCCCATCCTGAATGCCCACCGCCATGTAGGGGTGGGGTAGGGCACTCCTTATTTCATACTTTGCCTTTCCCTGCAGCAAAGAGGATCAGAAACTCAGTTCTCGGCCCTAATACGCCTATTGCAGACCTGGGCTCAGGGAATCCTCTTCCACAGCAGAGGAGCAGAGGGCTGCTCGGGGTGTTACACTGCCTGCTGCGATGGGCTGAGCAGGGACCAGCACCAGGGGAAGGTTTTGCCCAGGACTGCCGTGCTGGCACCGCAAGCCGATTGTAGCCCTCCATGCAAGCTGTCTGTGCTCATCACAAAGTCACGCTAAGAACACTTGTTTTGAATAACTCCAAGACACTTCTCAGTGCTCTTCTAACATCTTCGTCTGTCCTATAAATCTGTGCTGAACCTCCACCCTTTCCTCCCTCCCGTCTAGTTTTGGTTTTGTGAATGCAGTGATTTTTGGCAGACCAGTTTTACAGCAAATTGCTTCACCCCCAGTGAAACCTGTTAGAATCCAGCTTTTATTTTACCTGGCTTTAAAGAAGTTGCTAAACCCATTTATGATTACATTTTGACCTGGGATCAGTATCACGTATATTGGCTCTGCAGGTAGTTTCCTTAAAAAGCCACCACTGGGGCACCAAGAGTTGCTGTCTGAGGTTAGGGGAGAGGGGTCTTACTGCCCCGATTTCTCTCAGCAAACCTAGGGCACGCGGCGGGGTGGAGGTGAGAGACGGCTCTCTTCGGTCCACTTTACACACCTGATGCACGACCAGCACCACTACTCACCCCAGCTCAGGGTACTCAGGGTACCGCGACACCACGTAGTTGTAGCATCTTCCCAGGATGACTTCTCGGAGATTCTTAGTGGTCCCTCTGTCCTTCCACTTCAGCACGCCTGGACGGACCTCCCGCTTGCCGTGAGTCAGGAGAGAAGCCAGCACGACGGCGAGGACGAGGGCGGCCAGCAGGACGGCGATGCCCAGCAGCAGGACGGTGCGCTGCCGCCGGCGGGCAGAGCCCTGCTGC